ATGCAGTATCTCCAGCTAAAAAGAAAACCCCAAAAAAGAAAGGAAAAGAAGGCATTTTCTCCACTTCAGTTGTGAAGATTCCAGTGTTTTTGCTGTATGCATTGAAGTAATAACTCTGTATAGGGGGTAACAGAGAGTCTCATTCTCCTTCCCTGGCAGAGCCTTGTTTCACCCTTTGAGAAGGGTCCCTTTCTGCAATTCCAGCCAATGCTTCCATCACTCTACAAAACCTTTTTAGTAGACAAGATATTCTCTTCCTATTAAGAGACTTCAGCCTTCTTTTATGACTCTCTCTCACCTCTCTGCTCCCAGCCACTCACTACCTCTTCTGTCCAGGGAAGATCCAGAAACCTCTCCTTGATTCAGAGCTCTTCACCATAAAACAAATCATAGCTATATAGGTCTGTTCTATATAAAAATCCGCAAAGCTGCCACTGCTTTAATCTTATCTAAAGAAAGCCTCTCAGAAAAACACTGCTCCTTCAAGCTGCCTTTCTCCTATTAAGGGTCTCTAACACGTCTTATCCACTCACAGAAGATGCAACTCTCTGCACCAAATTTATTGGGAAGAATCCTGAGATCCGAAAGTCAGAAAGGGCTTTCTCTCAGTCTTTTGTTAGAAAGAAACACAGCCATTTGAAATTCTGATTTGGATGTGTCTACATCTGCACTCTTCAGCAAGTTAGTGTGCTTCTTACCTGCATTTGTTCTATCTTTAAAAACATACAATACTACCCAGAGGGTCATTTCTGATTATTTAATTACAAGATAGCTCTGAGTCTGAATTGTTTGCTCTAAATCCACTGCCTTCAAAACCTATTGCAAATTCCAATCAAAATTAAAAGGGAAAGGAAAAGAGATCCTCCAAGTTTTTGTATAAAAACTCATCTTTGCAAAAAGCGCGACACAGTCAATGCTTGGTGGCAAAAGACTCAAACACTTTTTGAGTAAATGAAAATTAACTTTAAAAGTTTTTATTGAAATGTTTTAAACAATCTTTTCATATCTATAGTCTAATTTGTTAATTTTAAGCTTCTTATAGGAAAAAAAAGACATAATCACTCTGCCTTTGGGGGTTAACAGAACCTTTGTGACTACTTGTAACCATGGAAATATGAAGAGCTAGTCAGAGCCCAACATCAAACTAACAGAGGTGCTGAAAGACAAAAAATAGATATATGATGAATTTTCCACACATGAAAGCTCACTGAATCTGTACCAACTGCATTAACAACGTAGAAAGCAAAGTCACAAAGCCTTTTGATTGCTTAAAAGCATATGCCATTTACTATGGCTTCTCCCTGAAAACAAAGGGAAATGCCTTTAAAGGTTTGTTTTCAAAGCACTGAGTGCATCTGAACTGGTCTAAAAGCAGAGATAAAATGAGGTAAAAATGGTTACTGTGTGAATAGGAAGAATAACAATATGCATGAAAAGACTAAAAAGGGCCCTGAAGAAGAAGAAGAAGGGTTTTCTTGGACTAGGATTGTAGTTAAAGAGATTATGCAACCAATGGCCACTGACATCTAAGTTAGCTTGTACCAAGCACCATCAAGAATGTTTTCTCATCATCCGCTGATAGCCCCCCAATTTAACAGACACAGAAATATCTAAGACAAGCAAACACTCACCTGATGATTTATTGACCTATCTGCCTTATAATAATAAGGCATGTGCATATTTAACTGCCTTCTCTGTGACAGCCCAAAACACAAAACATTGTTTAACCAACCACAACAACAATCCTTAAACACAGTCATCCTCAAAAAGAGACACCTTTGGGAAAAAAAGGAAAACATATATATTTCTTGCTGTAATAAGCAAGATACGACCAACAGCAGAAAAGAAAACTTTTCAATAAAGTTGAAAAACAAATTACTTGGAAAATAAAGTAATGAGTATACATAGAAAAAAAACGCTGTAACATATGTGGAAACTATGTACATAGCATATAGAATATGCTATATAGAACATGACATATATATATAATATATATGCTATATATATGTTATATTCTATTTATATAATATACATATGCTATATTTTTTATATATATATATATATAAAATATAGCATATATGTCAGCTTTACTTTCCCAGGGATAAGAAAAAAATGACAGATTAATTCTGCAGACTTTTAAGATAAACATAATTTTGTTGTCTTTTTATTTGTCCATTTGTCTATTTGTTTTCTGTGAAAGCACAGCACAAGCCCTTAGGTCATAAATACATTGCAGATTTCTGTCAGCCTGACTGCGCTGACCAGGGTTGTAAATAGCTAAGATATCATTTAAACACAATTTTGATGGTAGTTGTACTTGAAAAAAAGACAAAAATAGGGGGAAAAAAGTGTCTTAGATAAGATGTTGGGAACCCCAGACACCGAGTTCTAATTCAACACATAATTAGGAATAATTGTATGTCAAAAATAAGAGACCTTCTGGGCCCATATTAGATGAATGAAATACACACTTACTGTTTCTCACAGGTATGATTTGCTGTTTCACTCTACTACCATCTATTTTCCTCATTTACCTCAACTGTTTTTCAGGTCTTCATAAAATTTTAAAATCAGAATCAGGTTAATGTCATGAAAAATGAAGATACCATCTGAACAACATTTTCGTGCAGTTTCTTTGTCATCTTATTTATACTTTCAGTTTCAGAGCTACCTTGAATACTTTTGCAGGTATGCTGAGATAAGGGTACGTTCATTACACTGTATTTTAAATTTCATTATTATGTCTGTGGAAATCTCCAAATCCTATACCTAAACTGTGACATTTTAACCAGAATAAGATTTAAAGAAGTCTCATTGTTCCATCTTGAAATTAATGATACAGATAAAATGTTATGCATTATGAGTTTTCAATAAAATAACGTTTTTCAAGTGCCTACATTTAAAAAAAAATGCTGCTAAATACTTCCAAAAATAGTACCTCTCTATCTATTTTGCTGGTAGAGTATCTGACATACTTGAACCCACTCCTAACTCTCCTAATGAGAGTTACTACTGCACTATACCAATTACTGCAATACTAGTAACATACACAAACCCCCAGTTCATTACAAAATCCAAACGCATTCCACAGGGTTACATGAGATGTATCTTACAGCAGAATGCATTTCTAGTGCTCCAAGAGAATCTTGGCTACACTTCAAGTTTCCATTTAACTTGTGATTATTTTTTTTAGTCATATTTGGGAATTCACTAATTCTATACTCATGAGAAATACCAAATGCAATAGATAGAAATGTTTGAATAGAGGCCAAGTGATAGAAGTCTGGTTTTTTTCATTAGTTGTAAAATCTTCATATTGGCCAATTAATATAATTGGCCCAATTGTTCCCAACACAACGCATGAAAACCTGACAGAAGCACACAGGAACACTTCCTACTTTCACCAAAGGTCTGATCCAAAGATCACTTAGGGGAGCCTTTCAATTCACTTAATGAAATGTAGATCAGATTTCTAGAAAGCAGATAGTCAATTCAGGATTTCAGCAGTGGATGGTTACCCTCCTAAAAAGTCAGAAAAGACTTTTAGCACAGATTTCCTTTCCATAGAATGAAAAGAGTTCTAGATATCACACCAACATGACACAGAGGCAGGATCAGCTTGGTTGGGCTCTCTGACCCAGACAGCCTGCAGGAGGAGCATGTGAGAAAGCACTGAAAAGGATTTTATTTCGTTGGGTGTTGCAAGTTTGTTTGTCATTAAGTCGTTAAGGCTCCCCTGTAATCTCATGCTTCGCTTCTCCATTTCTGGTTCCTAAGTTGATCCATGGAACACCTGGAGATGACACAAACCTTTTAAATAGACAACTTCCTGTGTACCCTAGCAAGCAAAGAAATTTCTGGGGAGATAAATAGAGTAAATAAACCCAGAGAGTATCTTACATTTTATAAGTATCTTACATTTCATTAGCATTATGTGAAAGTCATTGAAGTAACACTGGACAAGAAGTAACACTGGACAAGAAGTAATACTGGACAAGAAATGCAACTGACCACTAGCATCTTTTTATTAAAAAATTGCATGGTTTTGCTCATTAAAGTTTGTTGATTAACATCATCTAAAGAAGTCTGCAGCACTCAGAGCAAGCCATAACAATCTGCTTAGACTGTATCACCTGCACTGCCCTGGGCTCATGAGGCAGCCTCGTGGCCCCCTATTTATCTGGCAACAGTGAAGGTTTTAGCTGTGCTCCCTCCACTCCCTCCATGTTCAAGCTGCAATATCACACTTGCAAGAAACATCAACAGGAATGACTTTAGAATACTATGATTGTTATCCAGACCAGTCCTTCTACACCCTTCTTTCCTTGTCTCCAAACACATGTTCACAGATGAGTGCATAGGTCTGTGTTAAGTCTAAGATAAATAGTGTAATAGGTCACTTCCATGCTCTTTCTGAGCCTACAGTGTGATAGAATATGTTTTTTGCTTCCCGTGCTGAGAACCAGTGTTTTGGTTTTGGTTTTTTTTCAGAAGGAAAAAGAAAAAATAATTGCTCACAAAGAACAAAATAGTAATTTTTATGAGTTGAAATCATTCTATAAAGGCCTTAATTTTCAGGTTTGTGACCACATATGGAAGTATAAACATCAGATGGATATCAAAGAAGTGCAATATACAAGAATAGTTCAAATTTATGCCACTCCCAGTGACATGTCCATAATTAATAACCAGATTCATGAAGTCATGAAGTGGGTGTGGACAGGGTGGGACCTGTATCAGATGTGGTAGGCAGCTTTGTAGCTTTGCTTCAAGTACAAACTGTTTGGGCAACTGCAGGAGAAATGAGTGGTCTGTGCCAGTCCAGCCTGGAAGTGGAGCTGAATGATTGAGGACACACCATGAGTCACATGATGCAGAACCTCCTGGCTACCAATCATGGTGAACAAGTGGAGATTAAAGTCCCCTTGTTTTCCTTTGTTGAATCCCTCCCATTAAAACCCAAGAGATTGTAGCAACAGTCTGGGTGAGAATACATTTATTATGACATTGGTGCTTAAGATTTCACCAAGGTCAGCTAAACATGCAAAAACAATAGATGCCACAGTTGACTTACACAGGAAATAAAATGTGCAAAGAAAAGTAGCTTTCTATCTTTCCTAGTCAAGTTTTCCTGCTCAGAAAAGAGTCAAATTATCCTTACAGCACCTGAACTCATCAGTGGGACATTCTGGCACCTCCCAGCTTCAGTTTCCAGTCTTCACATACTCCAGAACACAGAGATACAAGCCAGGCAACTACATCAGAGCTCAAGGGCTGGTCAGACCCAGGGAGGGTCTACGAAGGTGTGGGAGACAGGGAAAAGCACTCCAAGCTGGCTGGACAGGTAGCTCCACTTCATACAATGTTCAAGAGTCCAATGCCTGACATACCTCCACAGTGCCCATATTTCGTCCTTTCTCTTCACCTGTCTTTTTCCCAAGCATCTCCAGGAACAGGTATCTTTGGCTTCTGTCATGACTATTTTTTCATTTGTTTGGAGCTGGCTGGGATTTAAAATCCACGAAGATGGAAAAGACTTTTCTTTTTGCATGAGCGGATAGACGAAGTCCTAGGACATCATGGCAAGAGGAAAACCACTTGACAATTGCTAGGTTTTGGAATTAGGTTGCAACTTGGCATCCATTTCCTACTTGCACGAGGTAAATATTTCCAAGTGAATCTAAATCATGCATGTAGTCTGTATATTATTAACTAATGCAGAATCTTTCCTGTTATTTGTGCCTAGTCGCTGGAATTTATCCCCAACATATGTTACTATGGATTCCTTTTTATTGCCTTTTTCAGTCCCTGAAATGGCACATCCCTTTTATGACATATGCTGCACATATATATTTTGATCACATCACTGCAAAACATCACTGGGGACTAACTTTAATGCTGTTGATACATTGACCTTTTTTTTTAAACATGAAATGGACAGACAAGGTACATGGGAAAAGACAAGACACCGAGATGGAATATGAGTGACTGGGCACAAATAGGAGAATAGGTTTTACAGGATTATGTTAAGTATCCTTTAGATTGTAGAGATGTCAGCTAACGTAAAACTCTAATGTACCAGCTGCTGTCCAAATAGATCACAAACTGAAAGTCCCCATGCTGAGCAGGGCTTAAAATAGAGCAGCTGATGAGTAAGATGCTATTTCTTATATAAATTTCACATTTCATGCACTAAGACATCTCATTGTCAAATATTCATGGGGTTGCTGTTTCCCGTGAAAAATCTGCAGCAGAACAAATGCATCAAATTGTTTCACTTTTCAGGCTCTAAGATTGTTATTTTCGTGCCACACAGAAACTCCCTTTTAGTCTGCTTTGTGATTCATGTGTTCGGCTGAATAACTCTCCTGGAACTCAGAACAAGAGGGAAACCTTCCCTAAGTACTTCCTGTCTTTTTACATGAGCTAATAACAAGAGAGAGTCCTCCCACCTTTCCCATTTACAACACGCCAGGCACACCTACTGATTGATGCACTCACAAGCCTCGGAAACAGTCTGGTTTTGCTCTGCTTTTAAAATAGCATGATTTTCTCTGTCAACAAAAATGTTGTTTATCTAACATTACTTGGTATCAAAGTAATATTAACACACCACTTAATTAATTGCCTGCAGACAAAGGAGAAATCCTAACTTACCATAAAACATGAAAGATGCACTTCTCTTCCCCTTTTTCAAGTCTACAGCTAATCACAACTTTAAAAGCATGTTAATCTTAAAACACAGGAGAGAAACGTGGAATGTTGTGGGGAAGTACAACCAATGCCATGTGTTTAACCATGGGAGTTTGCAGGCCTCGCTCCAGGTGCCCAATGGAATCAGTATGAAACCTATGCTGAAATTGGACTGTGTGAGAATTAAGTAAAAACTCCAGAACAAGGTCCAGTATATTTACAATTTGAAATGTCAAAAACTAAAAATCACCATCCCACTGTCATATTACAGCCTGTCAATCCGTAAATCCTAAAAGAATGGATTCAAATTACACTATCCCCTAACCGTGGATTAAGCTTTTCTTAGAGTTATCAGCACAACTGAAAAGAAAAACAAGCCCCTAATTTTTACAGATTGTGTACCTTCTTTTCAAAATATGTGTCCTAAGCATCATGGTTTCCTTGTGTTTGGAAAACAAGTAAAACGTTTTGTGTAACTGATGTGAAAAACTAACTCGAGGTGCTGAGTGACTTACCAAACTCTTCAGAAGGCTGCCATGAGGTACTCCACTTCTAATTGTGGCTTTGCATCTGACTTATTATGTGGGTGTAATCCTGGCCAACTCATTAATCTCCAGGCCTGTTTTTCCAATCTGTAAAAGGGAATATATTATACTTAATTAATACAGTCTGTGGCTATTAATTAGCCAGTATGAAAAAGAATACTATTTGAATGACATTTACAATTCCATCTATACCTTTCTGTTCAACTGATTCTGCTTCTGATTTTCTCCTTAAAACAAGCAAATCAAGGCTGGTTGAAATTCATTCATGAGTTCATTTCATTACCAAAAGGAAAAGTCTTGGTGAGGTTTTTTCCACACCTTCAAGTCAAAGCTGCACATGTACTGTCTTGCTCTGGCTGTTCCGTGAAATTTAGCTTACAGATTTAATAGACTTTGCTATTCCTAAATGAAACTTTATTCCAGTAATAAATTAAGCTTCACCCTTCCATAGTGGAGTGTTGTTACTCTCCTGAAATGCAGCAACCAAGGCCTAATAGATCTTTTTTTCCGTGTTCTATGAGAAAGATTATATTTCTCATACCATTGTTCAAGTGAAGCTGCCACCAGCTTCACCCTGAAAAAGGATGAAAGATATATAAGACAAAAAAAAAAGTACTATGAACTCAATAGCTTTCTTTGTTATTAAGAAACCAATTAATCCCATGCAAAGATGCAGTTGCCAATGGAAGGTAGAAAATTGTAATACCCCTACCAAGAAAACTCTATTCTGAATCCTGGTGTCCTCAACAAATCTTGGAGAAAGGCAGCCAGTAATTTCAAGAGTGTCTTTGGTCTGATTCTCTTCTAACAAAATGGCTTTGAGAATGTTTTATTATTTTTTTGTGAAGGGTGGTAAGAATCTCACACCAGTGAATCCTAGGAAAAAAAGTATGAAATACTGTTGTTTGAAAATGCTGTAGCCTTCAAGACTTTTTAACTTTAAATATTTTACTCATTACAATGTTATCAAGGCATTTACAATTTACCACGTCTTTCAGGTTCAGACTTCCAGTCTCTGAAAAACAAACTAGCTTCCATATATTTTTAATGAAGTAAAAACTCTGAAGTGCTTCAACATTCATCAAGGTTGAATCCAGATAAAGATAGAAATTCTTTGTCCTGAGCCTTCCATAAAGACTGATAAAATATTGCAGAGAAGTACTCAGAATTTTTAAACTCCCTGGATTTAGCCTCATTTTCCTCCTTAGATTCTTCTTCCTGTTGTTGTTCTGCTGCCAGACAGTGGATTGCCAGCTCTTGAGAGTTCCTATTGAGTCTCTGAATATTAATTGGTGTTCTCAGAGACCACAGGGCTGAAATCAATGGATTGTATAAGAATCTTCTAATTTTGTCTGAAATGAGCTTTTAGCCCTTGAAATTATGACAAAGGCTGGGAAGAAGAAGAATTGGTTTTAAGAAGCTCAGAAGGAAGCAGGTACATGAAAAAGTCAACATTTATTGCTTTTTATGTACGATTTTTAATGCTCAAATTAGGAAACATTGTGGTAGGAGGTACACTCTTCAAAGTAAGAAGTGTTTATACAAACAAAAGCAGCAAAACTAATATTCCCCGGGCTTGGGTTCTGTAATAACTCAAGGATTTGATGAACTGTGAAAAGAATGAGTCTGCAATAGCTTATTATGATAAAGCTTTTGTTTTGAAGAGGTTTGAGCCAGCCACACATGAGCTGTGACAGACCATAGTAAACAAACCACCACTATGAGGGTTTTTTTGCATCAGTCTGCAAACAGCCCAAGCCACAGTCTCCAGTTTCTTCTGCCTTCATAACTGGGCTGAATCAAGGCACCAGTTCTCTGTAACAGGGTGAGAAACATGGCTTCAGTACATCTCTGGGTTGTTTAATGTACAGACAGAAGAAGAAACCCAGGTATTCAAGTTATTAAGCCTTACTAATTTTCTGTGAGCCCTAACCTCTGCTGTAGGTGATCCCAGCTTGTATGTCAATTGGAGGAAGAGACTGGATTAAAGGCTAAGACAGGTTAATTAATATTGCATGTCTGAAAAAATCTATAAGCAAACAGCAGCTGTTTAAAATGCTCTAAAGCAGCTGGATCCACAGTTAGGTGCTAAAATATATAGCACATCTTGGACATATTTTGGAAGACATTAAAAAATAAACATCTGCAAAAATACTATCTCCAAACTATTTTACAAAAACTCACACTCCAAACCCTCAGATTTCTGTCCCTCTGTATCTCTAACTGGGGTCATGAATCATATTTCAGAGGAAACACAACCAAAACATCAAAGGACTAATTTGGCTCGTTACTTCCGAACATCTGTTCTTGCAGATCAAGACTGTTTGAAGACAAACCCTGCCCAAAAAAAGCCCAAACAAAAAAACCTTGGGAGTTTTTGGGTTATCAGTTGAGAAATTAGATTCCTTTTTTTTTGGAATGAAAAGTAGTTATCTGGATATTAAAAATCAATTAAAAATTGCAGATTCTAAAGTGAAACCACTGACACGGCCTTATTATACCTTGTCTAGGCTGCCTTTAAAGAAGATCACACCCACTGCTCTTCTTGACACAAAATCAAAACCCCAAGACCAGGAAAGTGGTTACTATAGCATTCAAACATGAATATAGTCAAGAAAATCAGTTGGAATATGGGCTAGTTGTTCCAACATTATATTAATAAAATGTTTTCAGTACATTTGCCACACAGCACGCTCTTTCTGTTCTGAAATCATAATTTTAAGCCAAAAAAGGAGCCTAAATTTTCATGTTTAAACATGGTGTAACCCGTAATATATTAACATAGGGAGGCACTTAAAATTCTGCTTGAGATCCAATTTGCCTTCTTTAAAAAAAATGGTAAAATCTGAAAATTAATCAGGTCTGAGTTGTCTGGATGAGGAAATGCTTTTGCTGTTGTATCACACACAGCTGCTGCTCTGTCCAGCAGCTTCCACAATCTGTGGGGTGATCTCAGTTTCAAGTGCTCCCTCAAGAACCCTGCGAGGAGAAAATATTCTACCTTTGCTCAAGCCTCACTTCTTCTGTTCACTTTTTGTCTTTAGGAATGTGTGGTAGAAGGGTGGTGCAAACTCCTTTCTGGCAACAGCAGCTGAACTCAGCTCTTGTTAAACTTCAAACTGTCTTAGCTCTTCACCCTTAAAATTTTAAGGTATAACAGTCACCTATAAGATGCCTTACCAGCCAACAGAGAGAAATTGTCTGCACTGAACTTACAATCTATTTCAAAGAAAGTCACAGAATAGGATTGATATATATCATCATATGCTGAAATTCAGAATTTGATTAACCAGATGCTGTTATTTTCTTTAATATCTCATGAATAGAAACTACAGTATAAAAACAATTCAAAACAATCATTTACTAGGAAATATGACATATGGCCCGCTAAGCTGCTTTCCTACAGAAATAGCTAAAGATCATCACTCTTGGCATCACTCCCTACAACAGTCACTGGGCTCGTTAAAACAGACAGTATGTGATTGAGTCCATAAGGAAGATTATTTCTACAGATGGGTAGAAACAATGATCAAAATTACAAAGACTTAGGAGAAAGAAGTAGTCAAGGAGACTTCTCCACCTCCATAACTTCTGTGCAGTAACACAAATCAAAGCAGCACCACTAAAACACTTGCTGGGAAAAAAAGATGCATTTTCTCCTTTTTCTTCATGGTATACATTTCCATCCTGCTAATGCATGGGATTTCATTTAACTCGTTCTGCTCGAGCGGGAACATCCTGATGTGAACAGAAAGCTGGTATCCAGCAGGGGCCACTTGTTGCCTGTGTTTAGTCCCAAGTCAATTGGGTGGAAACCAAAACTTAATGCTGTTATAGGATGAGCCCACGTCCTGTGAGTGGACTGGGATAACCACAACCACTGCACTGGGATAACCACAACGGTGCTGTGATGTGATACTGCTGCAATCCCCACTTCCCTGGAGAAGTTACACCAGTAAACCTTTGGGATGTGGCATCACGGGACAGGAAATGTTAAGGCAATTACAGTGTGGCAACGACAATCTGATGTGGCAACCGTGCAATCACACTTAGCATGTGTTTGCATTTGAAAGCAGCTAAATTGTGATTATGTGCTTGCAACATATCCCCTATAGATGCCAGTGCCGTGGCGTGGATTAGCTAAATTTAGGCTGCAACGTGGTGCAGTGGATGGCTTTGCCATGTTCCATCACTGGCCTTGGACACCCACAGACCAAAATTAACGCTGGGATCGCATCGGTGGCATAGGACTGTTCTGGGAGAGATGGAGCGCTGGTGACAGCGAGAGCAGGGCCAGCGCCGCACACGGGCTGCCCAGAGCAGCGGGAGGGAGCCTCGGGGCTGTCACGGGCGGATTCAGGAATGCGCCGTGTGACGAAACATCAACTCGGTGACATGGCACCGACACAAGCACACGGAGCTGGCGGGGTGACGCGGGGCTGGTGCGGCAGCGGGAGCCGGCGGAGGCCGCCGAGGCGGCGCTGAGCTGAAGGACACGGCGGTGCCGAGGGCCCGGGGAGGTGGGTGGGCGGCAACGGCCCGGCCGCGGGGCCTCCCCGAGGGCCCCGGGCGGTGTCCCGCGGGAGGGCAGGAGACGCTGTCGGGGCAGCGCCGCCATGACCTTCACACCTCGCCGCGTGACGTCACGGCCAGCGCTGACGTCATGCAGCAGTGACGCAGCGGCGCGGGCGAACCCAACCGGCGGACGCGCGGTGGCGCGGGGAAGCGAGAGGCAGCCTCGGGCGGCATTGCCCGGGGAAAGCGGCCGCGGCCGAGATGAACCTTCCGCACCCTCCCCGACCCCTCCCCGACCCCGCCGCCATCGCCACATCCGGGTCCCCAGCGGCTCCTCACGGCCCCCCCCCGCCGCGCGCCGTGGGGCGGGGCCAGCGCTGCCAGTCCGCGCTCCCCATTGGCCGCTGGCGCGGGGCCGCTCGGGGATTGGTCGCTGCTCGGGGGGGCGGGCGCTGCCGTCTCCCCGGCCGCCCATTGGGCCGGGCGGGCGCGGCGCCGCTCTCCCGTTGGCGGGCGGGCGCGTCCGGCGCGGGGCCGGGGGAGGGTGCCATTGGCTGGAAAGTAGGTTAGTGGTGCGCCGTCGGGTGGCAAGCCAGGCGGAAAGTAGGTCAGGGACGGGGGGCTGCCGAGCCGGGCGCGCGGCGCTGCCGAGGGGGCCGCGACCCCCGCCCCGCCCCTCCCTTCGGCCGGGCGCGGCGCGGCGTGGGGCGCGCGCGGAGCCCGCGGTGAGCGCGAGGGGCGGCGGGCGGGGGGCGCTGGGGGGGGTTGGGGAGGGCGTGAGGGGAGATCGGGGGGGGCCGGGGGGTGTGAGGGGAGCGCGGCCCCGGCGGAGCCGCCGCGCTCCGGGAACACCTGGATCGCCGGGATGGGGGGGAGCGGCGGGATTGGGGGTAACCGGAGCCGGAGATGGGGGGCTCTGGGGACCCCCCCGGCGGCGGTGCGGCGCTGTGCCCCCTACCACCGGGAGCCGGGACCGCGGCGTGGGAGCGGTGCCCGGTGCGTGGCCCCGCGGCTGTGGCAGCACCGGGAGGGGGGAACGGGGCTCGCAGCCGGGCCCGGGCCCCGCGGGCAGAGCCGGGCCGGGGTCCCGCCGTGGGCAGGGGGGGCCGGGCCGGGCTGTGCTCCCGCCCTGGGTCGGGGGTCGGCGGCGGGTCCCACGGAGGGGTCGGTGCCCCGGGCCCCGCCACCGGAGCGGCCCCGTCCGAGGGGGGTCTCTGCCGGTCACCCCAGGATCCGGGGAGGCCCCGTGTGAAGCCCCCCAAGCGAAGGTGGTGCTTGGGAATTTGGGAATTCCCGTGGATGTGTCGCACGGTGACCGGTCCCGCCCGAGGGTTCGCTCCATGGGGAACCCCCCCCGTTCCCGGGCAGCCCTCCCGGTGCCGGGGCCGCGTCTGACACCTCTGAGCGCCTGGGCTGCCGCGGGGAGAAGGGATGCGTGGAACACACACCGGGAACGTCGAGGCGGCTTCCCGAGATCGGGATTTTTGCGCTTGGGGAGGCAGGAGGAAGAATCGCTTTGCATTTTTAATTGCCGAGGGTTTCTGTTACTCCAGTGCCTCGGCTGTAACAGTTTTGGGAAGGTTTTGGTACTTGGAAAATAACGGTGAAGGAACAAGTGGGTGTGTTTCCTTGCCATGGAAGCAAATATGCTTACAGGAATTTTAAAGTGCTTTCTCAGTGTGCGAGGTAGAAAGGGTCAGCTGCAGAGAGTGATCGTCTGCTGGGATAATTTTGAGTCTAATCTCGTCTCAAAATTCAGTCTTTAAGTAGAATTTTTTTTAAAATGCTGTAACTTCAACGTTCAAAATGATACTATTTTTTTTTTTTAATAAGCTAAATAAGTACCGGGTCCTGCCTGTTCAGTATATCTTTTCTTTAATCAAAAGTGCTTTTTAGATGGGACTGACTGATAATACACAGGCTGCAGCTTTTTTTTTTTGTAGGGGAGAAAAGAAAGGATGTTTGTCTTAATTAGCTGTAATTCTGGCTAACTGTCTCTGTAAACGGTCTTGCAGAAGGCTGAGGTTAAACTCTGCCCTCCCAAGAATGTATGTTTTGTATCCTCTAGGAATATGCAAATGTAAATAGCTCTTTGAAGCATCAGCAACTACAGACCTCTCAGTCTGGTTATTCTAAACCACAGTTGCTTATTAAGGGGAAAGGCTCTACTACTTCTGACTTCTGTGGGTTTGTGTTTCTCATGGCCATTCATGGGTTTTGAAGCCTACTTGTAGAAATTATGTAAAATAACCTCTAACCACAACTTTTTATTGGGTTAATAGGCTGTTTTATCCCATCTTCCCTTCCATGCTGTGTGCTCCCATTGTCTGGGAATGGATACCAGTTGTGGTGTGAGGGGCTGTGTAGGCTCGGGGTCTGTAGAAGAAGTTCCTTGGGAGAGTGCCTGGGCAAGAGGGAATTTCCACAGAGAACGTGAGGAGAGCTGTTTGGTTTGGCTGCCAGTAAACTGAGGTGGCTGCAACTGGAATTCCACAAAGCTGGAATTAGGATCTGCTGCCATGTCGCTGTCACCATGGGCTCCCAAGAGATCTGCTGTATTTGGGGACCATTGCTTGAGATGTGTTAGGAAGTTTGTAGGGGGAGTTTATTGGTGTTTTCTTTTTTCTTTCAAATACCTGCTCTCAAAAAGTCTTTTGGAAAACCAGGAATAAGAACAGTGAGGACTCATTGAATTTATTTGGCAGAGCTCAAAGTTGCACACAGTTCCTTGATACTGTGCAAGGCAATGATGACAAAGCTGAGGACAACTGTGGTGGCTGCAGCCTGTGTGCCATTTTTCAAAGGGAATTGATAACAGGAGACATGCAGGTTAATTAGTTTACAGGAATGCAGGAGCTCTGTTTTCCAGCTCAAATTCAATATTTTACGCTGTTTTCAGCACAGAGCCAATTGCCTGTGTCACTTTGACAGGAGGGACAGGAGAACCTGAAGGAATACATATTTTTAATCTTGCAGAGCTGTTTGGTTTTCAGTAAGTTGACAGAACTCAAAGAATACTTCAGGTTTCTCTATTTACTTTGATACATTAGACATGGTTTGAAACTTTAATTTTTGTCTGTCATCACACTCGGAGAACTTCAGCCTGAAATTACTGATTTTGATAAGTGCAGTAGCTGAGATGATGCTAATTGGATCTCAGCACCAACTTTTGAACTTAGTTGTTGGAAGTTCTGCTCGATAAACCCATGGAAGTCACTGTGGAGGTTTGGAGGTGCTTGAAGATGAAAATAAGATGGTTTATGGCATTTTCAAATGCATTTTCCATCTGAGTCTTTCTCTAAGAGTTGTTAAGATAGATTTCAGATGATGGACTGAAGTGAAGCAGAGGTATACTCTGCCTGGGGGGATATGTATGTATCCATATGTATATGGTAGTCTTGCACTGCAGTAGTTCCAGGTTTAGTTAAATCAAATGCAGACTGGTGAATTTTGTGTACTCAGGTGTTACGTAGTTGGAACTCAAGGCATTGAATCAGAACACAAAATGTTGCACTTGCGAAAGGAGAATGCTTTTCTTTTAAAGAATTGGTGTACTGAGTTATTTTAAAAGCCTGTTGAAGTTTTGAGGGTTTTTTTGGTGTGAGGAGGAGATCTCCACTGTAATTATCATGTTGTTTTTATCTGTATTTAATCACTTTGAATATTGTCAGATAACCTGTGATGTATATCTGACGGAACTTCACCTTGGATGAGGTGCATATCGGGGTGAATAACTCACTGGCGTGAACTACATATTGCACCTGCCTTTTTTTACCTCAATTTGTTGGAAAAATGCAGTGAGGCTACTTATCCAAGGCCCAGACTTCATCTCCTTGGAAACCTGATCTTTCACCAGATGTTGAGAAATGTAATTTCTCTTTTAATCCATTTCTGCAGAAGAACGCAGATCAAAACAGCATCTTCAGGCTTTGTCAGCCTGTACTATTCATTAACTAAAAAATATAGTCTGGCATTTCAGCCCTTGCCCCAAAGAAGATCGATAGTTTCTGTTGTGTTTGGTATTATTTCAAATTTATTTTAGCTGTTGCTAAAGTTCCTGGTTTACAGTTTAATTCAGTTCAAGAAGTGGCTGACAATGGGTTCTTCACGTGTAAAGTGCAGGATTGTTTGTGTTCACCTTTCTTCTCTCATGTTCAGGTCGTCCCGTCTCCTTTGCAGCTGCAAAGAGAGATTTCTTCACTGGTGTTTTCAGAGTTTGTAACCTTTTCAGCCTCCTGCCATTTGAGAAGCTGTTATTCAATGTCTCCTGTGTCAGACGCGCTTCTGGGTCAGCTGCTGGTGTCAGAACAGCTTGTGACCCTGCCCTGGAGCCGTGCTGGAGTTCACTAGGTTGGTCTTCTCTAGGAACGGTGCCAGCAGGCTGCTTATAGAGCAAGGAATATCCTTGGCAGGGTTTTAGAATGGTGAACTAACAAGCCACGTTTTTTGTGGCCCAAGGTGTTGACGTTCTGTGCTAACTTTAAATAAACCCATTCATGTGAGTGCAAGCGGCTGAGGCAGAGGGTTGTAGTTTTCCTGGTTGCTTTGACAGTGCTTTCCTTGCAAATCCCAGTAGGCTCTGTTTTCTGGGTGTAAGGCAAGGCAGTGGCACCTGGTACAAGCAGCAAATGTTGCTAAATCCTTAACGGTCCTTCCCTGGTGTGGCTGTGGTGGAAATCCCTCTTCCCAGGTGTCATTGCTGTAACACTGGGAAGGATGTTGGGCAATTCCTAAGCTGCATGTGTTGGCACCATGACTCTGAAATCACTCTCATTGGAAGGCATTTTATAGCAAGTCATAGGTGCTTATTCAGTTGCAGCCTTTTGCCTCAATTCCTTTCTATGTCGGCTGAAAATTAGTTAATGGAACTCATGTATTTTAAAGACTGGATGTATTCTTGATACAGGACTACTCAGAAAACTCTAATCCAGTTTTATTCATTTGGGATTGATGTAGGTTTTGAAGGGAGAATGAATTGAGACTATCAGAGAACTCAGAAATAAGTGTTATTCTTAGTCTCAAGTTCTTTTTATCTTGGAAACTTCCTTAAAGTGCCTTTGCCTTTTATAGTTTGTCTAACAAAAGAGGACAAAATCAGAAAGACTTTGGTAGAAATTGTTAAATAATGCAGTACTGCAGAATATTAATTGGGTGGAGTGAGAAGGAAAAAAAAGGAGAAAATAGAAGTAATATACTTTTATTTTAACTTTTCATTTTTTCTAAGAATGTTTTTTTCTGTTATTAAAACTGGTAGTTTTAT